CTTTGTTGGGAACTCTATGTCTTCCCAATTATATTTCTCAGTCTGTAGTTTTAAGATCTTTGTGACTCTACATGCGTCACGTTTCACGGGATTCAAAGTTCTAGTCACTGCCCATTTAAAACATTGGTTGTCCTCATTTTTTATGTTAATGATGGCTCTCTTTCCTTTCAGTTTTTTCCGGGAGCGGTGTTGTATATCCCTTCCCTTTCAACGGTTCATACTTTGTGACAGACACTTCTAACTTTTCCACTTTGTGTAATCTCCAACCACTACCATTCTTCTGGAATTTCGCGAGACTTTCTAACACTTTTTCGCGCATTTTTTCATACTCTCCGCTGATGTTAACTGTGATTGTGTGAGTATTACTTCTTCCGTGGAATGTTGTGTATGTTTTCTGTTTGGTTTTTGAGTCTTCTTTTACGAGTTCGCAGGTTAATACCAGATATACTTTCTTTGCACCTTCAACATCGTTGACGATCTTTTCCACTTCAGATCTTGCGCTGTTTAAGAAAACCCAAGGATCTTTGAACTCATCACCGGGTATCATCCATTTAGCGGTATTCTTTTCGATAGCACTAGAGACTAATGTTGATTTTACCGTTGGTTGCTTACCGTACAGACTTAAAACCTTGTTTTTAAATATTCTGTATGCGTCGGTGACTTTCCTTCTTATATCTTTCGGCACGTCCTTGACTAACCAATCACGCCATTCGCGCCATGTGTATGTTTTTGTCGCTGCTGGTGGAGGTGGTGGTGGTTCGTACCTGGTCGGTGTTAGGGTTGGTGGTAAGCCGCTGGGAATATCCATATCTAATAAAGGACTTGACCTATTCGGATTCATTTATTTATTGTATATGTGGTTCCCCTATAAATGGTTTCACATAGTCGTTTTTCTTTTTCAAATTTTTGAGATTTGAAAAAGCAGTGAATCCAGACTCGGGGATATAGATGACAGAATGCAAAACCTTGAAAATGAAAATAAGAGCTTATCAACGGCAGGATCAAATACTATTGAAAAAAAAATCAATATACAACCCTTAGGGTCACTGATTCTGAACATGACGATATTCCAGCAAGACTGAATACCCAACAGATTCTAGATGAAACTTCGAATACAACCAAACACAGCAACATACAGATGGTTGGAAAAAGCAGTGGTCCATCAAATTCTAATGAGTCAAGTCGTGACTCACAACGTAGTCAACCTAGAATAGCTATCCTCGGAGATTCGATGATTAAACATTTGGACACCAAACGAATGCAAAATGGATTGAAGAAAGGAAAAGTAACGATTAAGACATTTCCTGGTGCAGGTATTGACCAAATGAAGCATTATGCAGTACCAACTCTAATTACCAAGCCAAAGACACTTATATTTCATGTTGGAACCAACGACTTACATAACAAAACACCAGAAGATCTAATAAATGCAATGAATGATCTTGGTGAAACGATCCATAGACAGAACAACGATCTGGAACTTATATGGTCGGAAATAATAACTCGAACTGATGATCCAAACTTAGCAGAAAAGGTAAATGTAGTCAATGCCGAGCTCGCTAAATTATGTACAGATAAGGGCTGGGGACTTATTAAACACAACAACATTAAAGGAAGTCTTTTAAATAACTCTGGTCTACATTTAAATAAACATGGAACTACTACATTAGCTAAAAACATAAGACAATTTCTTAGCAGCCATTGACTAGATCCTGAGTTTTCAAACACTACGGATCCTGATTCTACATTTTTGCATATCGTAGATCAAATAAACACACAGTCTAGTTCACGACAAACAATGCAAATAAACAGCACGCCTTATCCAAAACTGAAAGGCTTTAAAATTGGCCATCTAAACGTTGCAAGTCTATATAAGCATGTTGATGAACTAAGAATTTTTATGAACGATAAAATGTTTGACATATTAATTAAGTATCAATGAAACTAGACTTGACGGCACTATTGACAACAACAAAGTTAATATCACAGGTTATGATCTTATTCGGAAAGACCGAAATCGAAATGGTGGGGGTGTCGCAATTTATATACGAAATGTTATCCCCTACACTATTTGCAATCACTTACTTTCAAGTACAGTAGAAGCTATTTGTATTGAAATTAACAAGCCTAACAGCAAACCTCTACTGATCTCAACATGGTATCGTCCTCCCGATGCCAAGATAGAATTACTTGTCCATTTTGAAAATTTTTTACACAACATTGATGAAGAGGACAAAGATTTTGTTATAACTGGTGATTTTAATTGCAATTTTCTGTCAACTGAAAATAATAACCAACATACCAACAAATTGATTGAGTTAATAAATGAATACCAACTACAACAGTTAATCACTA